TCCTCAGCTTGATTTTGCTGCAGAGCGCCTCAGAAACCTGAATCTTGGCATCTGCTAGCAAGCTCTCCTCAAACTCCCCCTCCTTTACAGCTCTCTTTCCACTGCACTTCTCAACTGTGGCACATTTGGGCATCCCCTAAGGACAGCTGCTGTGAGGTGCTCACATGCAGTGCACGTCTTCTATCAATTAATTAACTAGCAACAGGCGTATGAACTAGCACAAACTGTAACTGGTTACAGGGGCACTACTAAAGGGGTCTCTGTCACTTGGGCTTGTGCAATTTCATTTTTTGTCTTCCAGATACACAGTTTGAATAGGCTCTAGTGATTACATCCAAGTCCTGCTTTTTTCCACACTTGAGTGAACAGGTTTCTTCCCTCCCTAAAGGTGAAACACAACCCAAACAAAGTACCTTTCTGCTTCCTCCGCATTTTGAGACAGTATACTAGACTGGATGTGTAAAAAGCACTTTTTGTCAGAAGCAAAGCAGCTGCACCCATCATCCCGTTGATGTTGCATTGCTCGGCCAAATGAGACATCGCTCATCTGAGAGCGAACCCTGCACTGACAGCGTTCGTCTCTTTGCTGCCCTGCAAAGCCGGGAGTTTTAATGTTTCTAGTGACCTGCTGTGGGTTGTGCTGGCAGTCTCTGTAGGAAATGAAGACACCGAGAACACTTGGCTTATTGGTCTTTTTGCTCCAAGAGATACGACTGCCAATAAAATTACAAATATAGCCATTAACAGCCTTGTGGTAAACACCCTCAGTGGTAGGGCCTAGAGCAGTATATTTCAGCTGATACCTGGCTAGTGCGATGTGCTTTTTCGGAGGGGCTAAGGAGCAGGCACAGCCCCTCAGCTGCTTCTTTACCTACGTGGGAGAGGAAGGGTAAGGGCTGGAGGCAGCACGAGGAGGTGCCAGCAAAACTCCATTCATGTGGGTGTGCTTGTACTCAATTACAGGAGGCTTGAATTTGGCCTGGTAACTCCTAAGATCATACATATTTATCAGTACTCAATCATAGCAGAATTTGGGAGACATCTGTATTTCCTGCATATAACAAAAGAAAGATATACTGCTATGATATTAAGATTAAGTATTGCTCTTTCTCTTCTTTGACAGTCATAACGCAACTCTTGAGACACCATATATCTCTTCCTAATGAAGTGTCAAAAATATTTACCTTCAGGACAAATTACAAGAATAGCAAACATCCTCACTCTGTATTAAAGGAGTTGGTACATGAATGTCAGCAGCTCACAAGCTCTCTCTGGTGGTCCTGCGCAACTGAACATTGCACCGAGTCATCGTTAGTTTTGATGTAAGCAGAAATAGCAGTAACAAAAGGAAGAAATGGAAATAAAAAGTTAGAATGTTTCAAAGCGGAATCTGGTGATTTTTCCAAGTTCCTCAGGCTGTTTGCACCTGCTTTGCTCATCTGCGTGTAGATGGTTACTGAGATGAAAATAGCCTGAATTTTAGTGGTGCTGAGGCTGTATATTTCTCTGGAGTGCCACCGAGTTCTCATAACTTCTGAAAATTAACTTGCAGCCTATTACCAGCCTTGGAAATCTGAACTTCAGGATGTGAGATGCTGCATGCTTAAAATTTAAAAATGCCTATTTCACTGAAGTTTCATTCAGTAAAATCAGTGACAAGGCTTGCCATTCCTTCTAAACAATTACATCAGCGTCACAACATTTGTTCAGAAAAAATGACTTATTTAGTGTCTGTGCCTGTAATACTGATACCTTAATTTAGGTCCAAATTTTGTTTGTCCTTAGTAGCACACATACAAGCGGGAAATATTGAAGGTGAAATTGACTTCTGTTGTTACCGAAACAAACCACCATTAAAAGTCGTGTCTTTCTATTGAGGTAGAGTTTGCTAATAGGAAAGAAGTGATAGGCTCATTGCTCAACTGAACCAATGTAATAAATCCATTTTAACAAAGAAATTGGCTTTTTATTGAAAGAGCGTAATGCCCACCTTGCAGGGCACCTCCAGAGAGCTGCTGGCAGCCAGCAGGGCAGTCACTGTGAATCCTGTCTCACTATGGCAAAGACCCCGAGGAGCCAGATGAGATGGTGCTCATGTGTGCCAAAGCACATGCCACGTGAGCTGTAGAGGACTTTTATTTTCTTAGCCCCGTAATCAAACATGCAAAGCTGAGTGTAGACAAGCCAGTGTTTTTTCCCAAGCTGGCCTTTTCTGTTTTGTTCACAGCTTTAAACCAAGCGATGCTGTACAAGCTGCGCTTACCTGGTCTTAGATGCGTGCATACAGTGATTTGTTTGCTATGGAGCATGAAGTGATTATTTTAAAAGATTCACTGCTCGGCATCCCCATGACATTGTTTCCAAAGATGTTTCTTGTCTCTTGGGCAGCACGTAGGTGGTCTTCTGTATGGATTGTACCAAATGCTATTTTGTGCGTATTCAGGTTCCCCTGCTGCTACAGGCAGAGGCTTGCTGATCTCATCTTTGAATACAAGAGGGATATAAAGCTTTCTTAAAATACATTGACAAAATTGATCCAAATGGCACTGAGAAGCCAATCTGAATGCAAAAAATGACGAGAAATTAATTGAATTTACCCCAAATTAAGTCTGCTTAGCCCATGACAGTAAGTGGCAAGTCATTGTCCTGTCTTTACCTTGACCCCCACATAAGTTTTTCCATCTTTTCTCCCTCTTTCTTGTTGAGGAGAGCGAGTGAGAGCATGGCAAGGCAGGTATTTGACACCCAGGCAAGGTCATCCCACCACAGCATGCTAATCTCAGAATGCACAAAATAGATCTGCGGTGGAAGTAAGAGTCAGATTAGGTCAGTTAAGTCGGAGTGGTTGCTTGAAGAATTTGTGCAACCCCTCTTGTAATTTAGGCATTTGTGATCCTTGTACGAGGGCTGACCTGAAGTCAGGGCTGAGCCCTGACTTGTCAGCGCTCAGATGGTGAGGACTGTTAGCACTCATCTGTCAACCCAATTTTTAGGTACAGCCACTTCCTCAATTACTTGTGCCTTACAGCATACCTTCATGTTTATTTGTTCCTGCAGCAATTTACTCGTCAAAAGGGAAGCCAAAAAACAGCCTGGTTCTAAAAATGCAGCTGTCGAGCTCCTGTCTGTGTGATGGTTTGGGGTTGTTTACCTGTGGCAGCTGGATAGCAGGAGTTTTCTCAAAGAGCTCGCCGATCTCTTTACCTTGTGACTGACAGAGCAGGGTAAATTTCAGAAAGCTTTTAACCTTCCCCGTGTTTCCTGAAAACACTAATAAAGGTGTTTGAGATCGCCCATGAGATGGTAATCTTGATTTTAAAAGGCATAAAAAAAAAACCTATAAAACTACAGAACGAAAAAAACTTTATCACAGTTTGTATTTCTGCTTCTTGTAGCCAAGGCAGCTCAACCTTTGTCAATTCAGAGGAAAACAAAACCCTTACAAAGGATGCAAGGACTATTTTGAAGTTCTCTCCCAGCGGCAGGTGGCCCGGCAGCCAGTGCCATGGTGGGAGCTGCTCTTTTGGGCGGTTCTGCAGCACTTGCTGTGCTGTGTGAAACGTGTTGGATCCCTCCAGCTAAAGGAGCCCAGATATCACAGCTTAAGCTCTTTGTGGTTCTCTCTTCCATCTGGATTGAGAGCAGTCAGGGTAACATGGAAAGCACGTGCAGTGTAGAGTACCTGGATCAATGATACCCATCTGGCACGTGTACCTCTTGATAGCATCGTGCTGTGCTGCATAGCTTATTACATGTCCTCACTGATACTCCCTGAAAATTAACCAAAAATAAAGATAAAATAGGAGTTCTGAAAAATTTCCACCTTACAGGTTCTGTTCAGCAATGGTGAGAAAACAATTAATGATGATTAATGGCCATCTATCAAAGGCTTAATGACCTTGCACAGATAATGCCTTTTAGACAGACTGTGGCATATCATGGTAAACAAATTCCTAATGCTGCCATAAACCCAGGGTGGGTTTTGATTGTTGTTTTTAAGTCATGATGAATTATGGATTTTACAGAAATACCAGCACCTTTTTGATGTTAAGGGTGTTTTTTCTGCAATGTTAGCTGAGGCCACAGACTTAAGAAGTTGTGCCAGTATTTTGATAAAAGCCTGCTAATAGATGCTGAAGTGTCCCAGCTGCTGAGGCAGTGCCCAAGCCTAGTGAGTAGGCAAAGGTACCAGCAGTAATTAGCTGCCATCTCTCTGACTTCTTCCTAGATAAAGCACACAAAAGCATTGTAAGGGTCTGCAGAAACACTTTTACCTGAACATGGGTGCTGCCTTTTGAACTGGAGCATGATTTGTGTGAAGGAGTAGGTCTGGAGAGGCTGGAATGAGGTTGTCAGGCATAAGGTGGGTGTTGTAGCTCCTGGGGCTGCCTAATTGATGGCAGGATGGTGTCCTACTTCTGCAGCAATTCAGCAATGCTAGGACAGCTTTGTGTCCTCCACTAGGTCTGTCCCCCATGTCTGTTGTGCAGCACTGCAGGGATCCTTCAAAGATTTAAAAAAACAAACAAACAAACTCCAAAAATATGTGCTCAATGCGTGAGAATGAAAGTCTCTAAGAAGACAGAGGACATTCTTCTTGTCTGTGTGTGTGTGTGTTGATGGCTATTTAAAAAAAAAAAAAATAATAATATTTGTTACCAGGAATTTGGAAGTAGTTGTTTCTCAGGGTTCAACTGTTCTTACCTGTTCCGTTTGTTGCAGACATGGAAAGTCCTTTTCTCAACAATTTAGAGCTAACATAAGAAAAAGAAATTGCTGGAAAAGCAGAGCTGTATGCTGCAAAGTTAAATGAACCATTTAAAGTAATAGCAATATACACTCTCTGGGATCTAATGTTTTAAACATCAGTGGAAAAGATTTGCTGGACCAATATGCAACTTTATTTAAAGGACAAGGTTAATGATTCTTTGTGTGAATATTTACTTTATTTGCTTCTGCTTCTCTCTTTTTTTTTTCTTTTTTTTTTTTCCCCCTAATAGGCTGATGATAAAGACACTGGGAATTACAGTGCCATGCAGTACAGGCTCATCATTCCTCCAATCAAGGATGGTAAAGAAGGTTTTGTGATTGAAGCTTACACAGGGCTAATAAAAACTGCTATGCTGTTCAAAAATATGAGAAGATCCTATTTCAAGTTTCAGGTCATTGCAACTGACAATTATGGAAAAGGACTGAGCAGCAAAGCAGATGTACTTGTAAGTATGAGCCAGGCATTATCTTTTTGGAATAATTGTTGAGGAAATTTGAACACTGCATAAAGTTTAATTTCAGGCAGACCTACAGGAAGACCGTAAATGGTGCACTTGATCTCCTTAAGTCGCTGAAATAAAGCTTTTTCAAATCAGAAGCTTTTATGACTGTCTGAAACTGTTTCATGGTAGAGGTACTGATTGCAGTTACCACATGATGTTCAGTGTTTTGTTTATTCAAAGAGCCATTGTCAGTGGTTCAATTTAAATTCTAATTCTTTGCATTAAACATGGAATTTACAAGCATTTACAGATCTACTCCACCTGTTCTCTAAGCCAGCAAGGTGCAGGCAGCTCCTGTTTGGAAGCTGTGGGTTAAGAAGGATTAATATGGCATCAAGCCCCAATTAATAAGTCAAGCTAAAATCTTGCTAACTTGGTCTGTGCTCTGTGTTAAGGTTACTGCAGAGCTTCTGGGTCGCAGTTAGATCTGATGTATCTGGTTTGCAGTGCAAAGAGCCGAACAAACAGGCTCAGAAAGAAGACTGGGGAAAGCCAGGTTTGCCATGTGTTAGTTGCTCATGTCTGGGAGTGAGATGAAAGGAATAATTTTGGGATAAGACTGTGCTTTAAATTTTCAGGAAAGCAATGTTTCAAAAATGGCACCAGACACTGAGCTCTTTTTTTGTGCCGAGTAAAGGACATTGACTTAGTCAGTCACAGAAACCATCAAAGCTAAATTTCTTTAAAGCCTATATAGCTTGATGGATTGGGTTAATATTAGCATAATGTCGTAGCAATGAAGTACATTATCTAGTTCATGGGAACACTGTCAAATGATACAGATGATAACCATAATACTCGGTATATTGAGTTATGCAGGATTTCAGCAAATAAACATAACGTATGATATCCTCATGCTTGACCTCTCAAAATGATAGGGCATTCTCATGCAGTTTATGTGGTGATACTAGATTAAAATATAGCCCAAAGATATTGACATTAAAATTAGAAAGTGAGATTTGTCTCATTAATTTATAGAGGCATATTTAGGTTGTCTTAGTGAGTGATGGGCACTCTGAGACACTGTTCTTGAGCAAGGTGTGAGAGCTTAGAGTCACTGTAGACACAGTTACAGATGGACACCAAAGCAATGTGAAAGGTTGGGTGTGCCCTGAGCATGATGCATAGATGAAGTTCCTTTCTAGTTAGACCAAGCTGTTTCGGGGCTTTGTGGTTTGAACAGAAGTTATCCCACTGTCGTATGTCACTGTGTGGTGTCAGGAGGTCAGACTGGGAGGTGTAACTGCTTTCAGTGCAAGTTCAAGGTATGTAGATAAGAGAAATGAAACTGATTGCTCGTGTGCAAAAGGATGAGATGTATGGGAAGAAGTTAGGATTGCTCTGGGAGCAGATCTAGGGAAAAGAGGAGGAGCAACACCAGAGGGACAGCTCAGCAAGGAACGTGGGCAGAGCTAGGTATTCTCCAAAATGAGGGCCAGGACAGTGCCTTGAAGCCCTGGCAGTGCTCTGCGAGCAGCATGAGGTGCCCAATCTGCTGGGACAGTGTCTTCATGCAGCAGGGGTGGGTCCTGCTGCCTGGGACTGGCAGGGTAGCTCAAGGTAGACGCCTACAATTTGGCTCGATGTGATGAAATTTTCTATTGTAGCTTCAAGATCAAAAGGAAAAATCAGTAATTGAAAAAATAAAGATCTTTACAAATGTGTATGGTACATAAGTGTCACTATGGAAACCTTAACTCTTTCTTGGTTTTTGTTCCACACTTGTTTTTCTGTAGCTTGTCATGAATGTGTTTTTATTCGCATTTTTGTGCATGAATGAGAAATCATAATTGTGATTCTTCAGGTTTCAAAGAACTGTCGATTTTTGGTTACATTTATGCAGTACTCAGTAAATAGGTGCACAGTGATTCCTTGAATTGTATAATATAGTTAATTATATTAAGCTGTTCATAGCTTTAGAGTTCCTTTTAGTAATCATAGTCTAAAATCTGAGTTCATTATAATTCTGTATTTCTCACAAAGAAGTCTGTACACTCCGATCAGTGCATCTGATGACATTTGAAGAACATTTAAATATTTAAAGTTGAATTAAGCTTCAAAGCTGGTGAATCAGTGTTTGATGTGAAAGTATATTATGGCTTGTCCACTGAAGTGCTGACAGCACTCAGACTTCTCTTATGAAAAGTTGTTGTTGTTCTTTATTTTATAATTAATTGGGATAAATGATTTTTAAATTTATCTGTTTTAACATTGTCCTACATATTTTTCCAAATTTAGCTCCAGAATCATCTACAGAGACATGATGTATGGGACATAACATTTACTGTCATGTCTATATGAACATGAACCAGATTTTAAGAAATGTTTTATTTTCTTCACCTTTTGGGGAAGCAGCTGTTCTTTTCACAACCTGAGGGGAGATTGGTTGTGCTTGTGTAGAGAGAGCAAAAAGGGGAAAAAAAAAAAAAAAAGGAGGTGGGTGGGGAAGGGGAAAGCATGCAGCTGTTTTACCCAAAGGCAGCCTTTTCTTGGGATCACACTAAAAATAGCTCAAGGAGGCTAGATTGAGATGTGAAGCAGAGTTTGCCAGCTGTGCTGAACGTGATCCATGCCTGTAGTCCTTTCTGCAAGCTCACCGTCCAACCTGCCGTTGAGAAACAGAGTCGCTTTGCGTTTGTAGTAGAAAATGCTGATCAGAGAAATTTTATCCCATATAGAGGGAGAAGATAAAGAAATCGGAGAATAAAATAAAAACTTGGACAGAGTACTTCAGTCAAAATAGATGAGCATTGTAATTTTCTAACAAAGTACCATTAGATTTAGTTGAATTAATCTGGTGTTTGCATTTACATTGGTGTAAATTGCATGTTTCCAAGGTTGGATCTTCCTGTCAAGTCATAAAAGATACTGAGATGCTAATAAGTGATTTTGAATATGGCATGTGGGATATTCATGAATGCTATAAGTAAATTCTTACGCCATGACAAACAAGCTTCATGGGCTCTCTCCCTCCAGATATATATAAAATTCTGATGCAGGTCTGCAGTTACAGTTCTGGTTAAGTATTTCCCTGCAGTTTATTGGTACTGGCTGCCAAGCAAAGCAAGATTTCCCAGCTATCTTTTTCTGGAATTAAATGAGACATCAGTATATCAGGGCATGGCAGTGAAGGCAGGAAAGCAATTATTCCATTCTGTTTGTACAGGGAGGATGTTACATGTGGAAGTGCCAATGAATTTCACTCTTTTATTTCCAGGTCTCTGTGGTCAATCAGTTGGATATGCAAGTCATCGTCTCTAATGTTCCTCCCACCCTTGTGGAACAAAACAAAGATCAACTCATAGGGTAACAAATTTACTTACTCTACAAATATCAAACAATTCACTGGTTTTGTGTTTAGATTCAGCAAGAAGTGCTCCCTCTGTGTCATTTTTTTTGCCAAAAGGCTTGCAAACAAGCAAGTACTTTGATGGGGAGCACAACCAGCTGGGTGATGACACTGGCCTCCCAAATCTGCATTTTGCCCCTCCTCCCGAGGGGGGCAGAGGTACAGCATTTCTTTGCTCGTATCCTTGCCCGATTTGCAGGCTCAAACTAGGTTCAGAGCTGCCCCTCAGAGCATAGTGGAGCCTCCAAGCACTGATGACAAAACATGCATTGGTCAAAATCCAGCATGTAAAGTTAATAAAGCACGGCTCCAGAAGATTGAGGCAGTGTGTGCCGTTGAGGTGTATGGATTCACTGTAGTTTTATTTGGATATATAGCCGTAAGGGAAAGCAGAGTTTAGAAATTTTATATTGGTGCAATTAATGCCAGTAACGTTACATAAAATAATAATTGCAAAAAAAATATATATATATGTAACTGGGTGTCATTGTTGAAGCCTAGCAGGCATATGATGTTGTGATGGGGGTACAGGTAATTGGAAACATTAATGCTTTGCAGTCAAGGCAAGGTATTTTATTATACTTGGAAGCTAGAAAAATCCTTTCGGTAAATGTTTTAATAGTGCTCATATGCCACATCAGTGACAGCTTCCAGGAGTCAGGTTTTCAGTTTTGGTTTCCTTTTGAAAGGCAAAGATAATTATCTACATGTCACTCGGTATATAATCACAAATTAGACATACAAGAAAGAAAATATTACAGGTGATTACAAACATTTGGGCACTCTTCCATCACTGTAGTCCATCCGTGATGAATGATATTTCTCAGATTTCCACAGTTCTGTTGCATCCTATTGTCACACCTTTACAGCTCCGTGGAAATTGAAATACATTAGGGTTGATGATATAATCACTCACTGAAAAAGAAGTGTGTCATCTAAATGTCTCACGTCTTCACTGGGCTAGGAAAAAATAATCAACGGATTAACTTTTGGATGCTTAGTACATCCCCCTTTCCTCTTTGCTTCAAGCCAGGTTTAAGGTAGCTCTGATCGATTCTATCAGAAACACTTGTTAAGTTGTTCAGGTAATAGTCCGAGCTCGCAGGGACTCCATTTCCTAGAGCTATGAATAATACACAAGTCTACTTGCTTAACACTAAGATCTAGCTTTCAGAAAGTGTCAGGTGTTGATGCTGTCTGGAGAGATGAACAACATAACTTTTATTGACAGTAATAGGAAAAGTTTGCTCCTGCTTTCCTAAGCCTTCAAGTTGACCTTAGCATGCTGCGCTGTACACAAATTTCTCTTGTAGCCTTCCTGGGCTTCCATTTTCTTGAGTGCAGAAGATGAACATGTCTGTACCATTTTTCTATATGCCACAGCACAGATCTTAGAAGAGCAATTGGGACTTAGGCTGTGTTTGAGATCCTCCCAGTTCTGGACTATCCCGGAGCCAGAGAAGCCACCAAAAAATACAGCTTTTACAGAGGGCAGTTTGAAAATGGGGTGAAACAAGCCTGGCTTGAGTGAAGAGTGTTGGCTGCATGACATGTGCTGAGGGACTGAGCGTGAGTGCTGCAGTGGGCAGCGTGGCAAGAGCAGCAGGAGCAAATATCTTCTTGCACCTTTGCTGTCCCTACAGAAATCTCCATTTGCAACCACTGGAGCAGCTTTTTTCCAGCTCCCTGCAGGACTTAGTAGTGTTCAGAGCCTGAACAATAAATTGTGCTGTAACCATATCCTCAGTTCTTTCCTCCTGGGCCCAGAGGGATGGCTGGCACGGCCTACCACAGTCTTGGAAAACAGCCCAGAGCTATGCTCCTCAGTCCCTGTGCTCCAGCAATTCCTTTCCTGCCAGCTAGAAGTCTTTTCAGAACTGTTTCATGCTGTTCTGGCCCCTGTGCATGGAAGTCTCTGACAGATGTGTAAATATTTCACCTTGATTGAAGCTTCCCAATGAGTACAAAAATAAAATAGGCCGGGTTTTGAATATTTAAGATAAGCTTGGGAAGAGTTCACGTTTGCAAATTGTGAGGACAGAAAATAAGTATGATATAAGAACTTCACTCTGAAAGTTAAGCTTTTAAATACAACTTTTGCTACAAGAGGTTACATGAGCATTGTTCAAGAAGCCCGTTGCTTTCTTTTTTGAAAATACTTGCAGATGTGAAGTTTCATATCACAGAATCACAGAACTGTAGGGGTTGGAAGGGACCTTGAAAGATCATCGGGTCCAACCCCCCTGCCAAAGCAGGTTCCTCAGAGCAGGCTGCCCAGGTAGGCATCCAGACGGGCCTTGAATATCTCCAGAGAAGGAGACTCCACAACCTCCCTGGGCAGCCTGTCCCAGTGCTCCATCACCCTCACCATGAAGAAGTTCTTTCGCATGTTGGTGCGGAACTTCCTGTGCTCTAACTTGCAGCCATTGCCCCTTGTCCTGTCCCCACACCACTGAGAAGAGGTTGGCTACACCCTTCTGTCCCCCACACCTCAGATATTTATATACATTGAGGAGATCCCCTCTCAGTCTTATTTTCTCCAGGCTGAACAGACCCAGGTCTCTCAGCCTTTCCTCACAGGGAAGATGCTCCCGGCCCCGTATCACCTTTGTGGCCCTCTGCTGGGCTCTTTCCAGGAGATCCCTGTCTTTCTTGTACTGGGGAGCCCAGAACTGGACACAGTGCTCCAGGTGAGGCCTGACCAGGGCAGAGTAGAGGGGGAGGATCACCTCCCTTGACCTGCTGGCCACGCTCCTTTTAATGCACGCCAGGATCCCGTTGGCCCTCTTGGCCACCAGGGCACACTGCTGGCTCATGGTCAACCTGTCGTCCACCAGGACCCCCAGGTCCTTCTCCTCAGAGCTCCTCTCCAGCAGGTTGTTCCCCAGCCTGTACTGATACGTGTGGTTGTTCCTTCCCAGGTGCAGGACTCTGCACTTGCTCTTGTTAAACCTCACTTGGTTTCTTCCTGCCCATCTCTCCAGCCGGTCCAGGTCTCGCTGAATGGCAGCACAGCCTTCTGGCGTGTCAGCCACTGCTCCCAGCTTTGTGCCATCGGCGTACTTGCTGAGGGCAGACACTACTCCCTCATCAAGGTCGTTGATGAAGATGTTGAACAAGACTGGACCCAGCACCGACCCCTGGGGAACACTGCTAGTCACAGGTCTCCAGTCAGACTCTGCGCCGCCGATCACCACCCTCTGAGCTCAGTCAGCCAGTTCTCAACTCACATTGCTGTCCACTCATCTATCCCACACTTTCTCAGCTTTGCTATCAGGATGTCATGGGAGAGAGTATCGAAAGCCTTGCTAAAGTCAAGGTAGATGACGTCCTCTATACTCTTCTGCATATGTGTAGGGTTTTTTTTTCACATAGAAACTTATGTCATTTTCCTCTTCAGATATCTTGGATTTTCTTCCTAAGGTTTATAGGAATGTTATCTCCCTGTTCTTACAAAAGTTGTAATTATTTATGCAGAACATAAAAACAAAATGCTAGGAATTTCTGATTGATTTCATATATTATATGGAATCACAGGCAAAGAGAATATTAGCAAGTTAGAGACCTTCTCAGGCTAAAGTGTTCTCATCTGAAGAGCTTTCTGAGCTATTTCAAATAATGCATTAATTTATGAAATTTGAGCACTTGGTAATTCATTAACAGAAAATAGACTATCATTAACAAAATCGGTTACAACAGTGGTTATTCAACTCTTTCCCGTCTTCCTTTTTTTGGCAGTGGAGTGATAGTAAATATTAAGCTGTGAAAAGATAACATTTAACTACCAATTGCAATGCTTTGGTGATTGGGTATGTTAAGAAAGTGTGTAGTTGGTCATTTTTGAAATGATAGTGATTTTTCCCCAAAAATAAATAGTGATTTAAACAACTTTGGAGAGCGAGTTATAACAGATTCTCCCCAGCTGCTGCTATCTTTCACTAGAGAACGGTTACACGCTATTGAGAAATACATAATTCAGTTCTTGCACACTGGAAAAGCTTACTCAGCATAGCCCAAGATGTATGTTGGTTAATGGCCCAAATAAAAGTAGTACAGCATAAAAAAAAAGATTTAAAACATCGCTATCCATTTGGCTTAGGAGTTTGGGCTTTTCAAGAGGGAAAATGGGTATGTCTTTAGCTGTTATTTCTGATAGTGTCACGAGCCTTTGCAGTCATTCAGGAAGCACCTCAGTTTTCCTGCAGCTGCTTTAATTTCATCAACAAGCTTTCCATATCCTCTGGACTGCCCATCAATGTCATATTTGCCATTTCTTCCACCCACTTCAATTATGACTGTTCAGATAGGTCTATTTATGTCTGCTGCAGGTAACAGAGAAAATGGAGTGAGGCTTAGTAGAAAATTCAGTGCATGTTCCTGTCTTTCAGACCTCTTGGTGAAGGCAGACAGCATACCTGGGGGCACTTTTCTTTAACTATGGCTGTGTTGCTGTGTGAGTGCTTATTTGTTGGGCAACGAAGGAACAGACTTCATCCACAATGAAATGGCCAACTTTGTTGTCAGACCATTTAGTACTTTGGTCTTCACATGACTGAAACTTACAACTCTATCGAAACTCAGATAGGTCCCATGACCAGAAGAGACGTGTTTCATCCCATAGGTGTTAAAAACGTCAAATGTACTGTACTGGAGTTGTTGAAGAACCACATGAGGATCGTCTCCTTGCTTTCAAAAATCAAAATGAAAGGTGTCCCATGTTCTTCCTTCTACTCTAGAGAAGAGTGAGCATAGAAAGAAGGGAGGTTACTTTCTGTTCACATTAAGAAAACCTCCAAGGTGGTGGTGTAGGAGTCATTCATTGCAGAAGAGGTGGGATCCCCTTGTACTTCAAATAGAAGTGCATAGATACAACAATAGTTTTTACAGTTTACTAACAAGTTATGTAGTAAATTTATCTGAGCACTGCAATGTTGACATTCCCACATCAAGGTATTTC